CTCGGGGAAGTTGTGCTGTTGGAATCGTGGTGGCTTTCCCTGGAGCAGGAGGAGCTGTGATCTTTGCACGCTCTGCTGCTGACAGAGGATTCCCCTGGGCTGAGGGAAGGCTCTTGGAGCATTTGCTGGCTGTGCTGGAGCCTGATTCCTTTCTGGAGCACTTCTTTGCCTTCCCAGTTTGAGTTTTGTTAGAGCTGAGCCCCAGCTTTGTCCCTCTGCACCCAGGTGAGCTCAGTCGAACAGCCTGCGCTTCTTTCTTTGCAAAATGTGGCTCTGCCTCCCTGACTTGCTGAGGTTTTGGTTGTGTTGAGCTCCTGGAATACTGGAGTTTGCTCCCAATGCCATTTTGAGCATCTGGGTTTCATTCCCAGGGGATTTTCAGCCCCGGTATTTTCCTGGCAGTTCTCTCCTTTCTGGGAAGCCCCTTGGAGAGCAGCAGCAGGAGCTGTGGTCACTGCAGTTCCCAGCAATGCCTCCTGCAGCTCTGGCTTCTGAACAAACCCCTCAGTGTCCCCAGCTCGGGGTCACCCCCACACCCTGAGGGGATGCTTTTGGGTTTGTCTGTGGGGCTGCTTTCCTGGAATGGGACGAGAATTCCATGATTGCCCCATATTGCAGCACCCACCAGCTCTGTTTGCGGCTGTGCTGCTCCTGTCGGGACTGCTGGCTCGAAGGGTTTGACTCAGGGGAAACTTCTGGAGCCTTTGGCCTCTTCAACAGGGCTCTGATGGTATCAGAAGGGGCTTTTGTCAGTGCAATTCCTCCAGCCTGCTCAGCTCCTGTGGGGTCACACAGCTGGGTCCTGCAGAGCAGAGCAGGGCAGTGGCACCTGAGTTTTGGGGTTGGGGTTGTGCCTTCCTGGCTGCTGGCACCACGCTCATCCCATAGCAGGGCTTGGATTTGGGTTTTTTTTTAGCCACTGAGGGGAGCTGGAAATGCTCTTTGAGCTGAGCTCCATGTGGCACTGGGGTGACTCTGGGGCACCCAGACCATGCCTGGCACCGTTTTGTGCCCCTGGGGTGGCTCTGGGGCAGCATCCAGTCCATGCCTGGCACCGCTCTGTGCCCCTGGGGTGGCTCTGGAACACCCAGACCATGCCTGGCACCATCTGTGCCCCTGGGGCAGCACACAGACCATGCCTGGCACCACTCTGTGCCCCTGGGATGGCTCTGGAGCAGCACACAGACCATGCCTGGCACTGTTCTGTGCCCCTGAGGTGGCTCTGGATCAGCTGGAGAGGGCACAGAGCCCTGGCAGTGCCCATCTGGGGACATGCCAAGAGTATCCCACACTTTCTGGCCGGCGTGGAGACCCCAGGAAAGAAGGAGCTGAGCAAACAAATGAGCTCAGCTGAGCCTGCCGAGGGAGGGCCGTGCCAGATCTTTCAGGAAACAGCTTTTAGGAGGAGACTGGAGCTTTCCAAACTCCTCGCAGCCCCAGTGGCCTGGAGCAGATCCTGGCCAGTTTTTTTTTTTTTTCCCCTGCCTCGGTGGAAACGTGAGCCTCGGCAAGGAGGGGTTGCCTGAGGCTGAGCTCACTTTGGCTGTAAAGTTGCTTTTTAGGAAGATTTAGCTACAGACAAGAGCGAAGCCCCAAGAAGGGAGGGGCAGAAAGGGGCTTTGGGGAGGGCATTTTAAAAAGCAGATTTAGGCCTCCTTTCTGCTCTCTCCCCAGCCCACTAACCTGCTCGGTGTGGGCATCAGTGCCACCCACAAATTTGGGGTTTTTCTGCCAGGACAGCTGTGGGGGTGCTTACAGCTGCCAGTGAAAGAGGTGGACGACAACTCCTCCATTTCCCAGCTCTRGTACCTGACTTTCCCCAGTCCTGTTGCATCTTCTGGAGCTGGAGAAGGTGCAAGGGTCCAGATTGTTATTTTCTTGGATAAAATGGGGTTTGTGCTGTGGCAGGGCAGTCCCAGGCTGTGCTGAGCCCCTGCACGGAGCAGATGCCAACTCCTGGAAACACCATCTCCTATCCCTGATCCCCAGCCCAGGAGGAGCTGGCTGCTCCAGGGGCTGGGATTAATTACGTGCACATTTGGGGCTGCCTTTTTTGTGAAGAGAGTTTGGAAGCCGTGCCAGGGGAGGTCTGGATGTGATTTGAAAGGTGCAGAGAAGAGAATTCTTTCCGAGGCCCGGGGCGGCGCGGGGGGAGTCCTGCGGGGCAGAGCAGGAGGCACAGCTGCTTTTCCACTCTCCAAATACCTGGCTGGGATGGGCTGGGGGATTTTTGGGGCTCTCAGCTTGCTGCAGACACAGCCTTTGGCTCAAGAGGAGCCTCCCAAATTCTGCTGGTTCAGATCCCCCTGCCTGTTATGTTTTTTTGGTTTTTTTAGCTCCTTGCTCCCCAGTATAACCGCCTGGAGAATTCCCACAGGAGGGAAGGATTTGCAGAGCCCTGGTTCCCTGTTTTTGTTTGTTTGGAGAGATWAACCCCTCCTGTGGCCTGCCTGCTCTGCCTCACACTGCTGGAGACCCAAATTCCTTATCAGGAATGAATCCTTATCCTTTTCCCCAAGATTTCCTGACAATTTTCAGTCCCAATGAGGCGCTGAGGCAGTGGGACCCCCCCCCCCCCCCCCCCCCCCCCCCCCAGCACCCTCTGGGTCAATCATAAATCAAATCAGCCTTGATCACCCACAGAAGAGTTTGGCTCCTCCACTCCTGGGAGAACAGATCCTTTCTGGCACCAGAGGAGTTTTCATGGCCAGACAAYACCTGCAGTAGAGCTTCTCTTCTCTTTTGTAGGGATTAACGGGTTTTWGGGATCCAGAAAAAGCAGGCAGCAATCCTGGAGTGTGGGTGCTTGCAGGGGAGCCGTTCTGTGTTAGTGCCTTATCTCAGCCTTCTCTTTCCAAAACTTGTCTGACACATCCCCAGGTGATAAATGCTCCGTGCACTCGCAGCTTTGCTTGTTTGTGGAAAGGACAGGGTGTTTTACCTTCCTCGTACAGGGAATTTCTGCTGCCAGCAGGGAGGGAGCCTCGCTGCTCTGCTTGCTCATGCATACCATTATCTATGTAAATAAGAAAATCTAATTATCTCTGAGTCCTGGAGTTGTGACAAGAGTGAGAAGCTGGGCAAGCAGAGCCTGCAGCAGCGCTGACCTTTGCAGCTGATGGAAAACTGGTGGAAAACTGATGGAAAACTGATGGAAAACCCCGTTACCAGCAGAGCTGCCTCCCTTCCCATGCCTTGTGCTTGGTGTTCCTCATCCTCAGGAACTGCTGGGAGGACAAAAATGGGTTTGGAATGAGCTGTAGAGAGTTTGGGTTGGAAGGGACCTTAAAGGWCACCTCATCCCCCTCCTGCATGGCAGGGACASCTCCCACCATCCAGGGTGCTCCAAACCCCRTCCAGCACTGCCAGAAMYRGGCTGGAATTGTCCCAAACTCCTGGGAGCAGTACCAAGCAGAGGGTGCTCAGGATGGGGTGGTGGGACCACTCCAGAGGGTGCAGAGAGCTCGTGGATAGCCTCACGTGTTCCCCTCGTGCTCTGCAGCCTTTGGACTCAGGAAAAGCCCCTCTGGACAGCGTTGCTGTTCCCATTTTTTGGTGTGGCCCAAGGCAAACATGCCCAGGGAAATGCTGCATCTCCCTCACCCATCTTTCCCTTCCAGGAGGGAATTGTTTCCTGCTCTCTCCCGCCTGTCRAGTCAAGGGTTTGTGTGGCTGTGTTTGGCAGCACTGAAGGGGCTGCAATTATGTTAATTAGGCGATTTGATTAAAATCGGCTTTTTGTTAGAAAAGAAACTTCCCTGTTGAAAAATACCAGATCTGGAGCAAATGAAGAGAGGAGCTGGATTTCCTGCTGGCTCATCTGCTCCACGCCTGGGCTAATTTAAAATCACTTGTGATGAATTTATTCCCCCGAACTGTATTATTTTTATTATTATTCACTAGCATATGTTTGTTAAACATTTCAATATTCCCACACCCAGAGCTTATTATTTCAGCCATTTATAACCCACCCACCCATCAGTGATCTCATTTTGGCAGACCCAGAACCAGAGCAGCCATTCCTTACAGCTGCCAACAGAACTGGTGCGATCCATTCATCTTTTGTAAAAACCATCATTCAGACAGAATCCTCTGCAGCAAACACTCTGGGAATTGCTGATGGGAAGGGAAAACTTGATCATTCTCTTGTCAGATGGAAAATAATTGCTCGGGGCAGGGAATGGAGCTCCGACCTGGTTGCTGTTCCCAGTCTTTCCAGACAAATTCGCTGTTCCCAAGCTATTCACCCTCAAAATCAAAAAGACAGATTGAATAGAGGGGTATTTTTGTTTTCACTCTGTCACAAGGACTGCCAGACTTGGCTCCTCTTGGCAGGCTCTGAGAAGGAATGCACTGCAGAGCATTTCCCACCAGCAGTGTCCCAACCCCTCCTGCCAGCGGTGCGGGAATGAGGAACAATCCTGGGGGGAGCTGGGCTGACCCCATCCCTGTCACCAAGCATGGAGCTGGCCCTGGGTGCCTTTCAGAGCATTAAYTGAGCCTAGCAGGAGGTTTGGCTGCTCCACAAGGTTCCTGCTCGTGCTCTTTGCCAGCTGAAGTTGGCTTGGCTTGAGTTCATCGCGGCGTCAGAAATGCGTTGGCCGCTTGCTCGAGTCACCCGTGATGTGGCTCCTGGCCAAGGCAGGGATAAGCACAGGGGTGASCCAGCCCTGGGGTTAAAATCGTGATAAATGACCAGCCCTGGGTCTAAAATTATGATAAATGRCCCAACCCTGGGGTTAAAATYGTGATAAATGACCCAGTTCTGGCTTTAACATTGTGATGGCCATGTGGCCGTTTTCCCATGCCCTGTTCTTGGCAGGATCTGGCTGCAGCAATTCCAGGGCTCCTGAGAAGACCCTCAGTAGGGTCCAAAGCCATGGTGTGACTGTCCAAGGGGCTTTTCCTTGCTTTCATGTTGTTTGCAAGGATGGTGTGAGGGTGGTTTGCCCTCTGGGCTGCCCCGTGGTGACCCCTTCGATAAATGAAGGGACCGTTCCATGGGTATTGCTCTCCTTGGGTTCAGGGGTAGCACTGGAAACCCAAACAGGCACAAAATGAGCTGAAACCTTCCTGTGGTGTTGGAGATGTCTTGAGGGCCCTTCATTTCCACCCATCCACCCCAAAGCATGGTTTTCCAGGCAATTCTGTTGCAGGGCAGTGCCAGTTCCTGGAGCTTTGGGAAGTGGTCAGAACTCCGATCACGGCTCTGTTTCACCGTCTGCTAATGGCTTTTGTCTCATTAAATGCCAGAGAAGCTGTTCCCTGAGAGAGCAGCTTGAAGCATTTAGGGCTCATTAGACTTCAAAGGGAAGAGGCCTGTACCACACTGCCAGAGGGGAGGAAACGGGAGCGGGCAAGAGGATCCCGTTAATGGAGAACAAAAATAAACCCCAGACAGGAAGGAAAATTCTATAGGGCTGACTCAGATCTGCAGTCCCAACACTGCCACTTTCCAGGGGAAAACCCCCTGGYTTGGCTGCTGCCCACACCAGACCTGGATGTACTGGACAATGGGACGAGGGCAGGGATGTCCAGGCGAGCCCAGCCTCTGCCAGGGATCTGTTCCACCCCAGAATCGCTCACCAGTGAATTGGGAAGGGTCAGGCACGTGCTTTATGGGGACTGCTCCTCCTTCATTGCCACACCGGTGAGAGACATGGAAACWGGGAATTGTTTCCTCTTTCCTCTCCTGGAACATCCTTTCCCCTTG